CACCTACTTCTGGTCTCTATTGTATTTTCCAGCTTCACCATGGAATCTAATGGCCTGCCTGTAGATCTTGTTGATTGCAAAAATAAAAAGAATTTGAGATTTTGCGAATCCTGAGTCAAAATATACAATATTCCTGAATCATCTACAAAAAGCGATTGGTGAGGAACTTAATAAAAAAATGAAAGCGGTTCTTTGGCCATTTCTTCGCTTTGCAGGGAAAAAACCCCAGAACTTGGTGATGTGAGTGCTTCTTCATTCATTTATCACTGGTTAAAAAACCACAAAGTTGAAGTCCTCAGCTACATGTGTTTTGATATTAAGAAACTCTAATTTATTTATCCTACTTTTCAATACATGTAAAAATATTGGAATTTGGGAAGAAGCAATGTTATCTTTTCTCACTTAAAGAGATGATGTTTTCTGTGTGAAATTAAACAGGATATGAAAAGACTGTTTAAAAAATAAAAAAAATTATGTGCAAAGGCTGTTTGCCAATATAAGTTAAAACTACCATCTGTCATCTTTAAATAAGAATAGAATTCCTCATTAATCAGTTTGATAATCAGTAGAATATTGAGATCAAGAATTACTCAGTTGGCATGGTTCCTATAGTTCATATAAAGCATGAATATATCCCCTTGTAATAAAACATGCTTGATGTGATGGTTTCCAGTTGGCTCTTGCACTTATTTTATGAAGGGCTGACATATATCACAACTTCTGACACACAAATTTGGAATAAGGCAAAAATTGTAGAGACAGTAGATCAGAATTGAGGAGTCTGTCTCACAAAAGAGCAGTAAAGTATCAGAAATCTGAATCAAGTGAGTATTTTATGGAAATCCGTCCATAATGGCCTGGTAGGGAGCCTCTCTGACACTCCTGGGCAAGTCACATCCCCGTCAGCTTCCACTGAGCTTCCCCACAGGAGGACATGGTGGTCCATCCTGTGACTTACATGCAGAAGGGGAAAATGATACTGATTCTGTCAGCTTTCTCTGCAGTCAGAAAATACTTCACACCTTCTCACAGTGGAATCTCATATCAAGCCCCATGGCTCTTTATCCTAAGGAAGGGAACGGATTAGTGTAAATTCACTAAAGGGTGATATTTGGGCTTTAAATTCTGGTGGTGCATTTGAAGTCACAAGATGTACCTACTATGAAAGGTAAAACATAAATATATTGGGAAGTATAGTAATGTATCCTGTATTAGGAGGCTTAATGAATTAGTCCTTTTCCCATTTTTCAGTTCTGCCTTGTCAGAGTAACAAATCACAATATCTGTATAGAGATATTGTGCCTCCACCTGGATATAATGCTCATTTTATGTTTATCTTACATATAGAATAGCAACACTGTATTGTAAATCTTCCAGGCTCTTCTACTCTTCTTTTTTTTTTCCACTTTTGCTTATAACTTAAATGATTATTCCAAATAGATTTCACAATTCATCTGGATGAAAAAGTAAATATTACACATGAACGAAAATGCTATATAGATAAAAATAACCAGTGTGTGAATATGATAAAGTATCATTTGTTGCACAAAACCAGTTTTCTGAGGTAGGGTCTGCATCTATTGGTATTTTCCTTAGTTTTACACTCTTTATTCTCATTGATTTTAATAGCTATTCCTGACTGGCTCTTTTGTACTTAAAGAAGCTAATTTTATACATGATTCTAAATTTGTATGTTTCAATGAAAAGCGAATATATGACAACACCCTGCTTTTCTCGCAGCATAGGCCCCAAGGAGTACAGATTCATTCTTAACATTTTAACAGGCAGGATACCCATAATATAAGATATATGGGATAATGAGCACTGAGAAAACCCTGAGACCGTTTCTGTTGCAACAGTTTAACAGTGACATCTAAAACAAAGAATGGTAGTTGGAATTCCTGACGGAAGTTACCAGATTTCAGTGACTGACTAATTGCTTGTGGGATTTACTCCCTCAAAAAATACACCTGCCTTTGGGGAGGGTTGCAGGTAATTAGAGGAAGGCAAAACTTTTCTATTTGCACAGTCCAAAATACGTTATAATGCATGAATATTTTTCTACAAAGTTTGTATTCCAATATTAGGAGGTGATCATGTATTTCTACATTCCATAAAATTCACTTTCTTAAGAACGTACAAGTCTAGCTTGATGAACATTGTTAATGGATCAGATTTGTTTGTGCTGTAGCTGCTTGTAGAAGCCAGTGAAGTTACAATAAGGTTTAATTAGGTCCGGTATCTTAAGACAAATTCTTGTTCACTTTGAAATAGGAGCCATCTGTTTGAAAAGTAGAATGATGCTACTGGTGATCTTGTGCTATTCTGGACCATTTTTACAGATAACAAGATTGTCTCCCATTTGCTGGTGGCTGAACCAGAGAAGATCTACGCTATGCCTGACCCCACTGTTCCAGACAGTGACATCAAAGCTCTTACCACTCTTTGTGACCTGGCAGACAGAGAACTGGTGGTGATCATTGGATGGGCTAAGCATATTCCAGGTACATACAGTATTTATTGCAAATAGATGACATGCAGAAATCATCGCATGTGTTATTCTGTTCTGGTAAAAAATATGATTCGTTCTCTCGCTACAATGCGTAAAGTTTTGTTAAGACTCCAGATTATTCACATAGGACATAGGTTAGATGATAATGTATCTTACCTTGGAAATAGTGTTATTGTTGCCATGAGTGTTACTATGTTAGTAAGTTTTACATGCTGCTCAGTGAATTAATTTTTTTCACGTATTACTTTTATTAAGATAAACTTGCCTTGCTATCCAGAGCATTAGCCTGGTATGAAGGGTAGTGCAAGTGCTCTCCTCTGTACTCGTCTGATTCAGCGGTAGTTGAATGTGAGTCTGGTTCCTCTATTCCGTAAAGGCAACACTATCTTATGCTGACCACAGGAGGTGCAAAAATTCAGTTATATTTTGGCATGGCACAGAGGAATTGTTCTCTTCATTGAATGAACTAGTGCGAGAACTGAATTGTACCAGCAGCCCAGTAGAAAGAACTGAATTGTACCAAAAGGTCTCTTCTTATAGCTTAGTAGTTCCTTGGTCTGTATGAAGTGGACTGAGGTCTACATTGTGTAAATGCATTGATATTATAAAAGCTGACTGACAGTCTTGTTAGCAAGAAAAGGGGGGGGGGTCATCAAAAGCAGTTTCTCAGAAGATTAGCAATTTCTTCAGATAACATTTCAGGTATATTTTATTTCCCCCGCCATTGCTGAGGTGTTTGTGCTTGCACTGTGGGCTAGCAGACAAACATATAGAGAGTCTCCAGGGTTCTCAGTCTGTCGCCTTTCAGAAATGGTAAAGTCACACAAAAAAGGTTGCCTTTTTTTCTTATTTCTCAAGGTATTTTTCTAGTCCAGCAGATGAGTGAGCATGTTGGTGTGTTTTCATCAGCTCGTTAGCTTTCTAATTTTGATAGTGGAGCCTTATTGAACATAAGAATGGATAACCTTTAAGTCCTCTGAGTAATATATCATCCTGATTTTAGGTGTGATTTTGGGATACCTTAATAATAGAATAAATAATCCAGTCAGTTATTTGTTTATGAAAGTTAAATACATTTTATTTCTAGTATCAAAAGAAATCGCAAAGAAATAGAAATAGTCTTCCTGGGTTTTTTCCCTTGCACTAACCAGCACAACGTCTCAGTTCTCCTGGTAGGTGCTTCTGGGTCACCTTCGATAAATACAAACACTAACAAAGAATAATAATAAAATACTTTGTACATTTATGGAACATTATTTTACTTTAGATGAGTGACAACAACCTACACTCTAAAATAGTCAGTATGCAACACAGTTGAAATTTAGTCATTCTCTGTGCCACAAATGGTGTGTAAACAAGCGTTTGTATCACAAGCAATGTTTTTCTGGTACAGTTAACTTATTTCTGTCTCCTTAAACTAGTTTGTCTTTATGCTTTGAATGCTACAGTAATTTCTTTAATCAAATTGATGGAAGTCCTTTTCCCAGCCCACACTGAAACCAATTTATTGGTCATGATACGCCAGCTATGTTGCTAACAGTCGTAACGAACTGTCAGGCAATATTGCAGTGAAGCTAATTTGAAGTCATTAGGTGTGCAGCGTTCAGGCAACAATTTGTTACAGTGGTTAGGAACACAGCTGACATTTCTGAATGGCTTTGTTCAGAGCAGTTCTAGATGAGCCCAAGCAAATTGTAAACTAATTTAAACATCACTCTATATTATACTAGCTACTTTGTCTTACACTGGTTGCTAATAAAGCACCCCAAATTAAGTCAAAATGAGTTAAATAAGTGAGTTTGAGTTTCATCTTTGGAAGATACCTAGATCACCTTAACCAAAATAGATAGCTCTCAAAGAAGTCAGCATGCTCCATAGTAGTTGCAGGGGAATGTTCGTCAGTTTGATTTGTGAATATATTGTGTAGCTTTGATTTGGCTGGAGGGGTAGGAAGAGCAGAGGGATGAGATTGAGCAGCCTTTAAAATGATGGCTTTGGTTAGCGTGGAAGAGGTATTGGATGTTGTAAACTGGCCTTGAAAATTTGCAGTCTGTGATCTGAACCAGTTGAGGAAAATTTCTGCCATGAGGCAGCCTTTTATTACAAGGTAAACTCAAAAACACACCTGCTGTGGTAAAGCCACACTAGCTAAGTTTACTCACCTGACTGTTTAGGAATGAGAAGAAGAAGAAGAAAAAAAAAAAAGACAATCTTTTTATAAGCCTTCTGGTAACAGAGGGCAGTGATAAAATCTCTGCTTGTTGTCTGGCATTGGATCACAAAAATCAAAATGCAGAAGGGCTTGACACGCTAAAGGGCAAATGCGATGAGCTTTTGTAGCTTGGTTTTGAATGATGGAGTACTGCTGAAGTTGGACTGCTTACGCTTGGGTAATGTCTGGCATAAAACAACTTGTAGAAGAGCCTGGATTGGTGCTAGTTGACTGTTTCCTAAGCTAACAAATGTTACTGTAGGCAGAAACAACAGAATTGGAAAAAGGATGAGTTAGAAAAAGAGTGCAAATTGCATGAAAGTTTGCTGTAGCTTAGTGGACTAAGTAAATCCTTGGTGTAAATCTCTTGGAATCGATTAATTATACCAGTAGTGAATTTGTGCCTAGCACAGCAAAGCAGCAATCAGCAAATCTTTCTTTACTATAGTGATTTCTTAAGGTTCCGTATAATTAAAGGCCCTTATATATCAGGTGCTTAATAACTAATAAAGATCTCGGCTGTAAAGCATTGTAATTCAAAGTAAAACTTGTCTTTGTGGAAGAAACCAAAATAATATTTTTGCTATTCTAACAGAAAGTCTTTTAATGAGATTATCTATAAAAAGGTAACAATGCAATATGCATTTTGTCCTGGCCAACTGTTTCCCATTGCAGTCATGGGCTAAAAAAATATTTTAAAATTATACAAAGTTCAAATGCTTTCATAAAATCATTAGTATTTTTGTGCTATTGGAAACATTTCAATAGTTGCTTTTATTGAATGAAAAGTCCATGCCATCTACAAAAGGAAATATTGAAAGAAAAATATATATGGAAAGCCTTTATCAGTAAATAGAATTAGTATCCTTGCATTTATAAATCAAATAAATGGAAAGTGTGTTGTTATGAAACATGACCATGTCTTATCTGAAGACGAAAAAGATCACAATGGCATTAGGAAATGCTTGACTTTAGTTAGAGGAGCGTAAGGGCACAAGAACAGATGATGGTGCCCTAATAGCCCTTTTTAAGAATGACAGGGCCCCGCCATTAGCATCCTTTTATATCCTTGGAAATTGCTCATGCCTCGCTTTTCTGGTTCCTATCTGCCTGACTCTTTTTTATTTCTCTTTCAATTTCATCCGCGCTCGGATAAGCGCATGCTAACACAATATGATTGAGCTGTAAAATGGAACGCTGTCGCCTCTAATCTCTTTTATGTAGATATGGAGGTACTTCCACACTCCACTTCATTCTCTCTCCATTGTTGGCCTTTTTAGAATGTGTTGCCGAGTAATGGAGGCTCAGTCAAATATTAGAGCTAGGTTTCACAGGGTGTGATAAGAAGATTATCAGCCCAGCAGTCAGATCTATTGTTGTTCTTTTGTCAGATTAAAATATTCCGATGTACTGTAACTTCGTTAGTAAAATACTGAAGGTGCTTAGGGAGAGGCTGATGCTGCTTCATCTCCTGCCTGATGAGACAAAACCCCTATTAACTGACCTAAATAAATTGTAAATAAATTTATGAAGCCTCTGCAAGACTATTTTATTTTATTTATTTTATTTTATTTATCTTTTAAATAAGAGAGCCATGCTTAATTCAGTGTTTACTGGTGGTTGAGTTTCCTACCCTTTGCATTGTATTTTGGGGAGGTTCCATTTTACATTGGTTGCATTGTATTAATTAAACTCTTTTCCAGTATGGGGTGGAATTCAGCTGATACCTAGTCACAGTATCAGAGTCGTTTAGGCACTATTTCTGTAATGTAACTATCCCATTGACATTCAGCAAAAGTGTGTAATGTTCTTTCATATTAAGCGGAGGCAGGAAACATTAAGCTCTTAAAAATGTGCATAACAGGAAGCTAAAGACAAAATGTTCTCTAAAAAATTTGCATGCATGAAAAAACATCAACCAGACCATAGAAATCAACTTTTTGCACTTAAAATGAAAAATTTGTTTGGAAACAGTAAATCAGACTAATACATCAAAAATAACTAGTTACATTATTTTGTAAAATAAGCCTGTTTGTCTTCAACTGTGTTCCTCTCTTGCTAGCAGTAACAGTGTTCAACAAAGGGAATATTTAGAAATTGATACTGCCACTGGTGCTAGTATTAAAAAAAAAGAGGGCATGGTTTTGATGGAGCAAATCCAAGGATGTTTTGAATATTTTGGTGTTAATGTTAATGTTTTATGAAACATTATTGTTCTGGCATACTCTTTGTGGAGAACAATATTTAAGCTTTCCTTTCCAAAGCAGGTCTCAGGGGTATAGTTTAACATTCTAATACTGAACAAGAACATGATTTGCTGCAGAGTTGTCATTTCTAAAATGCCCTTTTCTCATCATCTGTCTCAGAAATACCACCCCATGTAGGTAAAAGTACAGAGAAAAAGTTGACCATAATCACCTTTGGAAAGCTAATGTTCAAGAAAGCGTGAGAGCATGCATATATGGTACATCTATGCAGATATGAATTGGGTATATACGTACCTGTTCTCATGCACATAGTTGTTTATATATCTACATCTTAGTGGACATACAGCCTGTGTTTAAATGACAGGGAAGAAATGCTGAATGTTAACTTCATGGTAGTATTCATGTCAGTAGGACTTTGAAGATAGACTGAAATCATACGTTGGAACTACCTGGTGTATATAATCATATATGTTTTAGCTATAGCCAGCATCCTGTTTATGCCCAAATCCTTTTCTGGATTGTTATTGGGGCAGCTAATACAGAATCTCAGCTCTACAAGGGGAATAGATGTCT